AATTCGTATTCACATTCGCAAATTCGTATTCGTATTCGCAAATTCCTATTCGCATTCGGAAATTCGTATTCGCATTCGCATATTCGTATTCGCATTACGCAGTCGCAACTCTCGATGCGATTGCCTACATCGACCGTCTTATTCTTTTGAGTCACAGCAAGATGAGACTAGCAAAATCGATTTTAAAATCGATCGAATCGATATAGCTCCATTCGCCACGTTCTCCCCTAGCATTTAGCGTGCGGCACCGCGATTTCACGTAGGGCTACTAACACCGATGACGTAAACAATCAACCTTGATTGAATTTTTTTTAAACAGATGCCTTCTTAAAATAATTGCGCAATTACACAATGCTATCATTAGGGACCGTCCGTAAATTGCGTGACACGAATTTTAGGACGTTTTAACTGCCGTCCTTGACAGATGTTGTCACTTTTTTTATTGCTTAGGTGTGTGGACGAGTCACGGCCCACCTGATGTTAAGTGGTTACCGGAGCCCATAGACATCTACAACGTAAATGCCGCCACCCACCTTGAGATATGAGTTCTAAGGTCTCAGCATGGTTACATGGTCACATTTCTAGAACTACCTAACCCCTGATGTGACGTCACAGATTTTTTAGTTTTATCCATGTATTTAAAAAAGTTACTGACAGTTTCTCGCCGGATCTTCTCAGTGGGTCGCGATTCCGATCCGGTGGTAGATCCAACGAAGCACTGCTCTTGCTAGGGCTAGTGTTAGCAATTCTCTCAGATTGAGACCGTGAGCTCTACCGATCCGCGTGAAATGGCAACGCTCAGATAGAGAAAAATAAGGAAATTCATGATTTTTTTACAAAAAAAAGTTTATTAAGATCATTCTCTCTAAGATTTAAACCTGTTTAAATCTTTGACATTTTATTTTTATTCATGTGATTTACTTCTGATTTTGCAAACATGTTTTTTTTTATTGCTTAGGTTAGCTGACCCGGCAGACTTCGTAGTGCCTCAATCTATAAATAAAAGACCTAAACTTTTGTATAAAATAAACTTAAAACAAACAAAAGGAATCCGTCCGACGGGGGACACATCAAAGGAAGAACAAAATTGTTATTTTTATTTAATTCCGAACATTTTCATATTTATCTACCTTTTAAACCTTCTGTGGACTTCCACAAATTATTCAAGACCAAAATTAGCCAAATCAGTTCAGCCGTTCTCCAATTTTAGCGAGACTAACGAACAGCAATTCATTTTTATTTATATAGATGGGTGGACGAGCTCACAGCCTACCTGGTGCTAAATAGTTACAAGAACCTATAGACATCTACTACGTAAATGCGCCACCCACCTTGAGATATAAGTTCTAAGGTCTCAGTATAGTTACAACGGCTGCCCCAACCTTCAAACCGAAACGCGCTACTGCTTCACGGCAGAAATAGGCAGGGTGGTGGTATCCAAGCGGACTCACAAGAGGTCCTACCGTCAGTAAAAATTTTATTTACCCGTATATACTCGTGAGACCAAACAGGAAATTAATATATATTAATACTTTAATATGTTAATAGTTGTATTATTAGAACTATTTCGTATTTCTTTTTCAATATTCGCGTGGATTTTTGTATAATTTTTGTATCGCGTGTGATGTGTGCAGTATGTATGAACTTGTAATAAAATCTCTTTGGCTATATACTATTTGTATCTAGCCGGTTTTGGTATCATTAAAAGTTTAAATTTTAAATAATTCCAATTAGATAATTCCAAATTAAAATTAGGAAAATGTGTGATTTTTATTTATTTTTCGATAGATGAGTGAATCTAATGAAGAAATTCGATACATTTTAAAATTTTACGACAACAACGGTAAAAAAGCAACGCAAGCCGCAAAAAATTTTTGCGATGTTTATGGACCTAGTGCAGTGTCTGTGAGAGTAGCACAAATTTGGTTTAAGCGTTTTCAATCCGGAAAATTTGATGTCAAAGATGCACGTCGCTCTGGTCGCCCTAATACGGATAAAATGGATGCCATTATTGAAAAAGTGGAGCAAGTTCGGCATATCAGTAGTTACGATGTAGCTGAAGAACTGGGAATTGACCACAAAACAATTTTGGCGCATTTGAAAAAAACTGGGTACACAAAAAAGCTCGATATTTGGGTACCTCACGAGCTCAATGAAAGAAACCTAATGAACCGTGTACTCATTTGTGATTCCTTATTACGACGTAATGAAACCGAACCATTTTTGAAGAAGCTGATAACTGGTGATGAAAAGTGGATAACGTACGACAAGAACGTACGAGAAGGTTGTGGTCAAAGGCCGGTCAGGCTTCACAGACTCTGGCGAAACCCGGGTTAACTCGCCACAAGGTGATGCTGTGTGTGTGTTGGGATTGGAAGGGCATTATACAGTATGAGCTGTTACCACCAGGTAGAACCATCGATTCTGAACTCTACTGCGAACAACTGATAAGATTAAAGCTAGAAGTTGAGGGAAAGTGGCCAGAATTAATCAACAGAAGGGGTGTGGTTTTTCATCATGATAACGCTAGACCTCACACATCTTTAGCCACTCAGCAAAAATTAAGAGAGCTAGGCTGGGAGGTGTAACTGCATCCGCCGTATAGTCCTGACCTTGCACCTTCAGATTTCCACCTGTTTCGGTCTCTTCAGAATTCTTGAGGCAGTGTCAAGTTAACATCACGAGAGGACTGCCAAAACCAATTGTCACTGTATTTTGATCAAAAGCCCCAAAATTTTTATAGCAATGGGATCTACCTACAAGATGGCAAAAAGTTATCGAACAAAATGGTACCTACATAATTTAGTTAAATGTAAATAAACTATATTAAAAAATGTTGTGATTTCTCTTTAAAAAATGCGAAGAAACTTTTTCTCCAACCTATTATTTATCTTTAGTATAATACCTATTGAAAATTAATGTTGTATTTAGTCGGAAACGATTTCGATCCGCGTGTCGTGTCGTGCTGTGTAAATTCATCGCGGTTCCGATAAATAACGTCAACAATAATTGCCTCTGTGAGTAATCATGGTTTTGTTCACGAACGACGTGAATGTATCTACCTTATGTAGTTGTTGAATACAAAAAAATAATACGCCATACTAATAATTAGACGTTATTATTGGGAACCACATATTTTACTGCTTCTAAAAAAATCGCGTTTTAGTTCGACTATTCCAACATAGATGGCGCGCAAATATGTTTTCCTTACCATGGTCTTATGGCGCAGCTTACAGCGGAATTAGCCTATTAAAAAGTCCACAATTTCCACAGTAATCGCGTCAAACTTGAGACGTTAATTCAAATTCTTGACAACACCGAAATAGCTGCTGTATTATTCCTTCAAGCAGTGACTCGGAAATCTCCGGTCATCGTCCTCGTCGAACCCGTCGCTTGCGACGAAGGGCTCTGCGAGTAAATTAACCCACAGACACATCCCACTGAGTTTCTCGCCGGATCTTCTCAGTGGATCGCCTTTCCGATCCGGTGGTAGATTCTACGAAGCACTGCTCTTACTAGGGTTAGTGTTAGCAACGTCGTCAGGTTTGAGCACCGTGAGCTCACTTACTTGTTACGGTTACGCTGATATCTAACATCTGAATATCGCATCAGAAGTCATCGTGGCCTAAAGGAGAAGACTTCCAGTGCATTCGTATGTAGCGACGCAACGGTGTTCGAATCCCGCTGGCAAGTACCAAATTTTCTGATGAAATACGTACTTAACAAATGTTTACGATTGACTTTCATGGTGAAGGAATAACATAACGTGTAATAAAAATGAAACCCGTTTCGGTTTAAGGTTAGGATAGCCGTTGTACTGTAAAACCTTAGACCTGTAGATCTTAGAACTCATGTCTCAAGGTAGGTGGCGGCATTTACTTTGTAAATCTCTATGAGCTAACCACTTAATATCGGGTGGGCCGTGAGCTCATCCACCCATCTAAACAACAAAAAAAAAATAGCCTCTTAAGGCCATTAGATTAGGTAGGAAAAAAAAAAGAAAAAAAATTGGGAATCTTCTTCAGTCGTACAGCCTCACCATTCGTTCTACCACCACTCTGCTAGTGGAATTTCATGAATCGCCTTCCGATACCCAGGGGGTATGAGTGATGCTATGCGGTGATGAGTATGCAGTGATGCTATGCTTTACGACAATTCGTTTAAGTTTAATAAGGTTTTTTTTTACAGGTAAAAATCGTGGCCCGAAATGTTAGAAGAAATTATGCCAACGATGAGGAGTCTTAGTCCAGATCCGGAAGACATAGGTGTGATAACAAGAAAAAACACAATCCAGGTGACGAAATATTTATTTTAAAAACTTTCGTTAAGTAAACTAGATGGCGCTGTATTAAAAAAATATACTTTAATAAGTACATCAAGATAATTGTATTATTAATGTTCAGCTAACAGGTTAATAGTTTTTTTCTAGTACGTATTATCGTGTTTTCATTATGTTTTTACAAGTATACACCAATATCGATGATGTATTTACCCAAATTAAGCACCTTTTCATCTCGCTTGACGAATGAAGCATGTGTTTTGTCTCTTTCTAACAAAAATGACATCATCTTATATTACTATCATTACACCACAATCGTAAATATTATATCATAATACAAAACGTCTATAAAAACAGAAGTTCTTACTGATTCACGTGGTATTGAAGGTGGTGAGGTAATTAAATAGCCATCAGCCATAATTTCGTATATCCTCCACTCGACAAAAGATGACGCTGTGCTAGTGAAATTCTATTCAGAAAAAATTCGGATAATACAAAAAAAAAACATACATTACATATAAATTGAAAGCAAATTAAATTCTGATTTAGTTTATGAACCTGGTTGTAGATTGTCGAACAATAAATAGGTTATTATCATCAGAATTACGTATCAAAATCTGCTATTCCTTTCCAACGTATAAGCTTATCTCCTTCTAAACTTCATTATGACGTGTTCACCACATGCCCGTATCCGATATGAAGTCAGTAACAAAACGACACGGTCAAAGATATAACTTGTATTTTGATAATTTAAAACAATTAACGAGAATTGAAAATAAAAACATAATCGACGGGTCCAAAGTTTAGTTTATTAACTTTAGTGTTGCATTACAAAGTGAAATTGGCTTAGACGAGTGTACGTGAAGTTTTAAGTGTTTACGGAGACGAAATTAGACAGTGCTAGTTAATTATTACAGTGCTTTTTACCATTATTTCGTTTGTAACAAACCGCTTTCGGAGGTAGCGGTCCGTAACCTCTACACGTACTGTGGCAGTCACGTAAATATTCATTAAAAAGAAACACCTAAATAATTCTTAACCTAACGGCGACCTTGCTAATGACAACAAAAAACTTTTAAGTCTGTTTTCCGAACGATTCCTATTCGTGTGAGTGTGCTCAAAAACCCGGCACATATAATTTATTTTTATTGGCGAAATGTTTAACTGTTTATTAGATATGGGATTTTAGTTAGAAACTGTCCAAATAAGAAATAATGCTTTCTTATCAGTACCCTGATTTTAGTGGAATTTTAGTGTTGCACAAACAAAAGTTTGTTCTTGGCTAGAAAAAAAAAGACAAAATTATATTCACACTAATATACCCTAATATTAATGTTTAACGAACATTAAAAATAACTTTAAAAGTCAGATTAGATCAAAGTTTAAATTTTATGATAATGAACAGAAAAAAAAAACACTATGAAATCAATCCCACAATGACTTATTTGTAGAATTCATTATGTTTTTATTGATTTTTCTTGATTATGTTACCGGCTCAGTTAGCTACAGTAACTATGAAACAGCAAAGCAGGTCAAGGTAGAGCTAGTCCATGTACAAAGATACTTGTTATTACTAGTTCTAGTTAGAACATATTCGGTCTACACTTTTATATATACTCTGTATAGTAAATATATAGTAAAAAAATATATTGATTCTAAATACGTTCTAATTTTGAATTCTTTTAATGTTATTGACTAATATGACCAAAGAAAAACTATACATAATAATATAAACTTATCAAACTTTACATATAAGACTACATGAATCAGTCGTTAATATAATGCATAATATTATTCTTTCTATAAATAAAAAATCTAGATAGTTTACTGTAAATGACACAAGTCAGACTTGACAGCTGTCAAAGGACAATTCGCTTGTTTTTAGGTAAATGCAATGTGATAATACCGAATCATTAGCATTTTGACATATCTTGGGTTTAATTCGGTCTTTACATTTCATTTCACATCATAATATCATTTTTCATGAAAAAAAAATTTGGCTGTATGACACCGTTGCCTTTCCAGTTGGAAAAATAAAACTACTATTACTACTCAATCTGTACATAAAATAAAATTATAATTTTGATTGGCTTCATTATTATTGGAATACGATATTATCTTTACCGATATTGTGACAGCTCTGCCTGTTTAATTTGATGGAACGTGACCATATATGCCCACTGCGGAAACTCATTATTTACATATTATATTATTAGGCTTAGGATAGCCTTCCTGTTGCTTGGGACCGAAGACTGTTTAAGTTACGACCTCACCGCTCACCTGGTATTAAGTCGAATTCTTATGGTCCGGTACATATTAATAATAAAAGTAACCGGGGACAAGTAACACCCGGTCATCTGAACCTAAACTAAGATTCTCTATACTATGGGATTTTTTGGCAGGAACGCGAGGAGTGAAGATGTGTGATTTGTTTTATTTCGTCTATTTAGCGTTTCTTCAGGTTTAAATGTTTAATAACAGTGGTTTATTCATTGTTTAGTATCTGTGAAATTACACAAATGTGGGAAAATGAAACAAAGCCGCTGAACGTAACTTCGCGGGATCCTCCAAAAAGTCCACTGAAAAAGTCTCAGTAAATGACCACCATTTTACTGAGATTATTTACATCCCATATAATCTCATCTCATTTCATTTCATTATATTTCGTTTTCATTTCATTTCATGCCATGTTTCATATTAATCAACTTCATTTCATTTCATAATATCATTTGTGATATAAAAAAAAAATCATTACAATTAAAATAAGACTTGACCTAAAGGTCTTAGTTACCGGGTCATAAAATCCCTTTAAAAAAACTATAATATGGGAACGGGAGACTGCTAAACATACATATATATTTTTAAATATAGGTATATCTATAAACTTATATTTGCTGCCCGTGGGCAAACAAACTTGTCAAATGATAATTTGCCCATTGCGGGTATCGAATTCACAACCCTAGCGTTGTTGTTAGAAGCGCTCTAACTACGGCGTCATTGAGTCAACGAAATAAAAAATATTAAATGATTCGAAAAATCAGTCAGTATTAATTAACTTGGCGGAGTAGCAATAAAACGAATACTAATATAATATTATAAATGTGAAAGTGTATTTGTTTGTCCTTCTCTCGCTTAAAAACGCAACACTGAGATGTTTTTCTGCTGTGACTTTTACCCCGAAAAAAAATTATTATGTTCCCGTGAGCAACTGTTTTATTATTTTTGCAAAAATACACATTATTTTTTTCGACGCGTCCGAAGCCGCGGGAACAGTTAGTATAGAAATTCAACAATAACCGGGTCGAAGTCACACACACACAACCTGAGACTGGTGTACATACTTTTAAATATGTATTTAAAGAAACAAACAGCAAACAAACCTGTTGGTCCGAAATTCGGATTCCGAATACGGGCATCCTACGCGCCGCACGAGTCAGTCGTAATATATATAATACAAAATATATACTTAATGTATATAATCGAAAACACACAAAAACGCATTAAACATCCATGACCTGTGCCAATTTTAACGATCTTTCGAAAAGTGAAGCGAAAACAAAATATTTTCGCGCGCCATTACGTACAACTAGAGATTTAAACTTTTTTTTTTTAAATTTAGACCGACCTTGCACCGACGTTCGGACGCGCCGGGTCGTTGTACCGCAAACGTCTTGTGGCTGTTTGATTTGATGTAATACCTAAAAATATGTATTATTGATATTGATAAACAAAAAAATACAAGTGATGCCTCAATTATTAAAATTCATTGTTTTAGGGATTTAATTAAGTCAAGTAAGCTTTCATCGAGTCGCTAATTATTTTTATATTAACTAAAAAGTCTATTAACTTTATATATAAGAGAAAACATTTGATATAATTATGTCACACAAAGATTCGAATTTAATGTAAATATTCTGTCCTATTGTGTTTAGAAGAAGCTTATAACAGTTAACCGTTGCCAAAATCGACAAAGATTTAAACAAAGAGAGAGAAAGAGAGAATCCATCTTTACTTTATGGTGTGATTTTTTTTATAATATAGCTCCGAAGAACGTAACGCCTACGCCACTGGTGAAACTGGAAAGCCCTACGAGCCACCAGTAGTTTTTCCTTCATAAAAAAGGACACATAGATACCAGTATCATTTAATACGTTAATAAAATAAAATTTTATATTTATAAAAACAAGAATATCAGTCTACAACAAAATAAGACGAGTATACACTCGCGAAGCGATCTCTTCCAGACCAGTCATCAGGTAGACAAGAATTACTAGGAAACAATTTTAACGCAAATTACAACTTATACTAGTGGTTTTTTGTAAATTTTTTGTATTACCCTTGTAGGCAGACCTGATGGTGAGTGGTTACCGTCGCTCATAGACGTCAGCAATGCCAGGAACAGAGCGCAGCCGCTACCTTCCTTTAAATACTCTGCACAAGCCTCGGTTGAAGAAGATCTCATAGCGCTCGGGTTAAGTTGCCGCGGTAGATACGAAGCTTTCACGTCGAAACTTTAACCTCAAAGTTCGCCTACGTGTTTTTTTTATTGGATCATCAAAACGAAGTCAATGTTCTCTGTGGAAGGACATAATGGGGCGTGGGAGTGAAGATCTTGGCCTCATGAGAACAAAGAAAACATTAGCTGGACGTAGAAGGGCAAATGAACTTGCGTAGAATTCTTGGTTGCATTCAGTCGCAACCCGTCCTTTACAACGAGAGGTCTGGTAACATGAGCTCACCTTAAATTCTTGGTTACGTTCGGTTGTAACCCGTCCTTCAAATTGAGAGGTGTGGTTTACATGAGCTCACGTTAAATTCTTGGTTACGTTCGGTTGTAACCCGTCCTTTACATTGAGAGGTGTGGTTACATGAGCTCACGTAGAATTCTTGGTTGCATTCAGTCGCAACCCGTCCTTTACACTGAGAGGTCTGGTTACATGAGCTCACCTTAAATTCTTGGTTACGTTCGGTTATAACCCGTCCTTCAAATTGAGAGGTGTGGTTTACATGAGCTCACGTTAAATTCTTGTTTACGTTCGGTTGTAACCCGTCCTTTAAATTAAGAGGTGTGGTTAAATGAGCTCACGTAGAATTCTTGGTTGCATTCAGTCGCAACCAGTCCTTTACTTTGAGAGGTGTGATTACATGAGATCACCTTAAATTCTTGGTTACGTTCGGTTGTAACCCGTCCTTTAAGTAGAGGTGTGGTTACATGAGCTCACGTTAAATTCTTGGTTACGTTCGGTTGTAATACGTCCTTTAAATTGATGGTGGTTATGTGAGCTTACATATAATTCTTGGTTACGTTCGGTCGCAACCCGTCCTTCAGACTGAGTGGTGTGACTTGATACGTTCACAATTTAGATTTTGACCACACGTATGGGGGGGATGTTCATAATATGACGTCATTGATCAATAATTAAAAAAAAAAACTCCAAGCTTCTACGTTAATGCACCAGTACCTCATAGCTCACAGCCCACCTGGTGTTAAGTAGTTACTGGAGCCCATAGACATCTACAACGTAAATGCGCCACCCACTTTGAGATATAAGTTCTAAGGTCTCAAGTATAGTTACAACGGCTGCCCCACCCTTCAAACCGAAACGCATTACTGCTTCACGGCTAAAATAGGTAGGGCGGTAGTATCTACCCGCGCGGACTCACAAGAGGTCCTACCACCAGTATCCATGTACATTATTCTGGCGATGGAACATTGCAGACAAAGATATAAAATCGAGTTTAATGTTTAATCTACATAACATCAGATTGGATTCTGGCAACGGCCGCATTTCCTGAACTAAATATATGGTTAGTTTACGGAAATATAACTGAATCCAGTGTGTTTACGTATCAGGGCCGTGAAAATGTCCAAAAAATACCTTAATAATAATATATTGTTTCGAAGTGGTTTTTTTTATTGCTTAGATGGGTGGACGAGCTCACAGCCCACTTGGTGTTAAGTGGTTACTGGAGCCCATAGACATCTACAACGTAAATGC